ACAAGAGATTGCAGAAGGAAGCTGCCTCACCACTTCCATGAAGAGGACGGAGATGTCAAAGTTGGGGTTCTTCTTCAGGTTCTTGATCACAGTTGACTGGACCATCTGCCCACCACACTCCACCAGAAGACTGGGAGAAGTCACACTGGCCAACTGGTAACTCTTCAGGTTTCGAAGACCCCAGGCCAATATCTGCTCCCAAAAAGTAAGAGAGAAACCAACCATCTACCAAGAACCGAAACTGACCATTGAAGAACCAACACAATGTTGATGTGGACATCTCAGCTAGAGCTAGATTGTGTTGGGTGTGGGTTGTGGGTGGAGGCACAGGACATTTCTGTTTTCCAGAGAGGAGGAGGAAGTTGTCACTTAACAACTGTTGCAAGACAGATAGTAAAACCAGGAATGATCACATGGTGACCCACTTAAAGAATGCCACAATTTACGACCGTAATGCTGGGCTCATTATCGTGGTATCTTGAGGACAACCTACATAGGATTATCCCATTGGATGGTGTCATTTTAATCCTAAAGCAAACATTTTATTATTTATGTTTTTTGATCCACTAAGGGTCTGATTGGTAAGAGGGCGTGGAAAATGACTAGACAAAATAAATACTTCATTTTCAGAATGGCGCCCTCCCGGCTTTTACAAAAATGGGCAATTCTAAGGTAGCTAAACTGTTTAAAAATATGTCTAGCACATGTTGGAACTGTAACCATAAAACAGGCACACATCACCATATGTGGTGGACCTGTGTTAAAGCAAAAAAGGGGAGTGGGGGCAAAAATACACAAGCAGTTTGAAAAGATGATAAGAAAACATGCAGATTTTAAACCTGAACTTTTTCTATCGGCTATAGCACCGGAAATATATAGCAAAATATATATCTAACATTGCATGAATTAACAGAAGCGAGGATTATATTTCCACAATATTGGAAACCTGAAGAACCACCATGAGACAAAGAGATAATTAGGAAGATGCTGGATTGTACAGAAATGGACAGACTCACATTGAAGATTAAACAGAAAGAAAGTGTCATGCCCTTGGTAGAGTCGGACTCTGAGGGAGAGGAGGAACCGCCGACAGGGAGTGGAAGTGTAGCTCCGGAGGTTGTGGAGGAGGCTGGAGAAGGGCAGAGGACGGCTGGGCGGTCAGAGGAGGACCCAGACCCATCCCCTCTCCATCCTAGGGCACGGAGGGAGGAGAGGATAAGGGAGAGATGTGGTCTCCTCGGGAGGAGAGGGCCTTGATCCTCTTCATGGGCTGCAGCTGTGACAACTGAATAAGAGTTTGGACCTGCGTGCTGGCAAATGCCGGAAACAAAGCGTGTAAATATCTCTAGTTTATAGTTCCTCTCTGAGTTTGGCGCCCTTCCCAGTGTGTGTTATTTGTAGACATCCTCCAGCCCTTATCTAGCCCGGTTTGTGTTGCTTTTTATCTTCTTCGCGTAACTGTGTGGGAGTTTTTTTCATCTTTCGTCAAAGATATTCGGAGCTTGGAAGCAAACTGAAGGAATCAAAGGGGCTTCACCTGTTTTCTGTGACTGTGTTTTGTATCCCACCCTGGGTCATCACAGAAAGAGACAGGATATTATCAAATAAGGAATGAACTTATTCTACCAGGGGTTGGAAAATAAGGGGGTGGAGATTAAGAAAGTAATCTGTACGGCTAAGCAAATAAAAATAACCCAGACAACACGATGGTGAAGCACTAACAAAATGTAAACAATAGAAAATTAATAAACCTTTTTTTTTTTAAAGGGCAGTTCTCTGTCCAAAACCTTTTGAGAGATGGTCAAGTCAGAATGTCTTCTGCACTCACCTCGATGGCCGTACGCTGGAGAACTGGCTTAATTCCTTGAGGGACCATATAGATGTTGGGCTCCCTCTGAGGTGGAGGGTAAGGCAGGTCTGAATCTGCAGACTGGGAAGAAACAGAAATTGGGTCAGTGGGTCTCTTTTAGGTGGTAAAAGAAACAGGAATCCATCCTGCTGACTCTTCCAACCAACCCAGAATTAAGGAGAAATTTCCTGACAGGGATGAGGCTGCCAAGCCCTCTTGTGGCGATAAACGCAGGTAGTCCTTGACTTACAACAGTTCTCGTAGTGATCATTCAAAGTTACAGCGGCACTGAAAAAGGGGACGTATGGCAGCTTTCACACTTACAACCATTGCAGCATCCCACGTGGCAACTGACTCATATTTATGACCGTGGCCGGCCAGAAAGGTCGTAAAAAGGGGCAAAATTCGCTTAACAAATGTCTCAGTGGCCATTTTTTACACTTACGACCACGGCGGCCTCTCTGGGGGTCAGGGGATCAAAACTGACTCATATTTACGACGGTCGTAGTATTTTGGGAGGGGAGGGGATGTCACGCGATCCCCCCTTTTGTGACCTTCTGATGAGCAGAATCCATGGGGGAAGCTGGATCCGCTTAACAACGGAGCAGCTGCATGGATTCGCTTAATGACGGTGGCGAGAAAAGTCATGCAACGGGGTAAAAAAAAACAAACGCCTGAACCGCAGAAATCCAGTGGCCGTAAGTCGAGGATGAACTGTATAAAATCCACGGCTGTGGCCTCGTGCCATCGGCGGCCGAATCGGGGTGCCCTTCCCCAGCACCCCAAATTCCTGAACTTCCTTGCAAACTCGTCTTGCAAACTCATCTTAGCTGCCTGCAGCGCCACCCGGTCGTCCTTTCCCCTCGTGGCCCACATGTTCCCGGCGAGCGAAAAATCCCCAGGCTTTCCCATAAACCCAATCTCGTGGGGAGGGGAGGGGGGGGCAAGGGGGGGGGGGGGTTTAGCCCCCAAAGGAAAGAAGAACCCCCAAGGGGCAGGGGGGGGGGGAGAAGAAAAAACCCAAAGGTAGCTCTTAACCAGGGGCAGTTGGAAGCAATTTCGGCTGCCGTCACTTTTTCCAGCCAAAAAGAATTATTGCATTAAATTAAGGAGGCGTATACATTTCAAACATTGGATCGGGCCGTATTTATTTATAGATCCCGTCGATGTATATTTAATAAGGGCTACGGGGAGGCGGGCAGGGTGGGAGCCAGCCAACGCGGGGCGGAGGGGGGAAAGAGGAGGCGGGGGGTGAGGGGGGGGCGAGGCTGATTTTCCCTGGCACTTGCCAGGAGCTGCCTAAAACAGAACGTCTCCTTGTTGCAGGATAGCACTGCCAACTCCGCTTGGGGCAAAATTGGAGGGGCTGCCCACTCCCATCCCTCTCCCCACCCCTGAATGCAGCCCCCCCACACACACCAGCACCGCTTTGAAGATTTAAGGGAAGTATTAGGTGACAGCCAAAAGGGTCACCCCCACCCCTTAAGATCTCCATCCAAATTTGCTGCATCCCCCCCTCAAAGCCAGACAAAGACCCTTGCCCTCTCGGCCCTTGTCCGCCTCTGCGGCACCCTGCCATGGCCACCAGGCGCTCTGGGAGTTGTAGTCCACCATGCTTAGAGGGCGGTGGGTCAGTCCTTCCTCCCCGCCTCCCCAGCCCCATCTCTGGAGGAAGCCCCAGTGAGCAGGGAAATCATCCATCAGAGAAGAGGAGGTGTCATGCCCCAGGTGGAGACTGACTCTGAGGAAGAGGAGGAACAGCCAACAGGGAGGGGAAGTGAGGCTCCGGAGGTTGTGGAGGAGGCTGAGGAAGGGCAGAGGCCAGCTGGGCAGTCAGAGGAGGACCCAGGCCCATCCCCTATCCATCCTAGGGCACGCAGGAAGGAGAGGATAAGGGAAAGATGTGATCTACTCGGGAGGAGAGGGCCTTGATCCTCTTCATGGGCTGCAGGTGTGAGATTTGCATAAGAGCTTGGTTCTGCGTGCGAACAGACGCTGGAGACAAATTAGTGTTTTATTCCTAAAGAAGGTTTATCTTGATTGGTTATTCTTCTAACGGACTGTCCCTGGTTATCTTCCTGAAGTTGGCAATTGTCTATCCTGGTCTGTCATGGAAGTGACAGGGAAGAGGAAGAGGAAGAGGAAGAGGAAGAGGAAGAGAAGAGGAAGAGAAGAGAAGAGAAGAGAAGAGAAGAGAAGAGAAGAGAAGAGAAGAGAAGAGAAGAGAAGAGAAGAGAAGAGAAGAGAAGCTGGAAGGAAAGAGAAGAGAAGGGAAGAGGAAGGGAAGAGAAGAGGAAGAGAAGAGAAAAGAAGAGTAAGAGAAGAGAAGAGAAGAGAAGAGAAGAGAAGAGAAGAGAAGAGAAGAGAAGAGAAGGGAAGAGAAGAGAAGAGAAGAGAAGAGAAGAGAAGAGAAGAGAAGAGAAGCGAAGCGAAGCGACGAGAAGACAAGACAAGACAAGAGAAGCTGGAAGGAACCTTGGCCATCTTCTTGTCCAGCCAGTCAGTATTGCTTGACCCTCCCTGGTGGACTCTCCCTTTGTATTTATATGGCTGACTGGAGAATTCTGGGAGTTGAAGTCCACGCCCCTTAATGTTGCCAAGCTTCGGAAGCCCTCCAATAGAGTCTTAACAAAAAGATGTGGCTTTGTGTTCTGACCCAGCTGAATTCCCCAAGAACAAAAGCAAAGATAAACTCAAAAACTGAAATGTTCACTGCTTTACTCTAGAAATACCTCTTTGTAGTTTAACAGATGGCTTGCAGCTAAGTAGTCCAATTAGAAAAACCTTCAAATAAATCAGTCTATTATCATCACACTTAACCCTTTGAACTCTTTTTGCCTTCTGCAAAGGCAAAATCCGTTTGCAACCAGGCTTATATTTCCTAGAGGGAGGGGCCATTACATAGCCTCCTTACTCCTGGAGTCATCTATGGAGCTTCAGCTGTTCCCTCCTACTAATCATTCTGTGCTCACCTGCACAGGTTCTTGTGAAACCTCCTCCTCACTGCTGCCAGCCCACACCATCTCTGAAGGCAGCAGTCCACTCCCTGATGACCCCCGCCCCTCCTCCGACAAATATTCATTAACCTTAATGAGCAGGGAAGAGGTCATGCAAGGGATTAAGGGTCAGATTTGCTTTGGGATGAAGGAGGGAGGCTGGGGAGAAGCAGGAACTGAGGACCGGTGAGAAGCAAGCAAGTAGGATCTTCCATGTGGTGTTGCTGCATCACCCACCACCCTCTCCTGCTATCCAGGGCTCTGGTCTTCAAGGAGTGGCCCCTGCAGCTCTGGTCCACAGGTGGGCTCCAGAGATGCAACCCACAGTAGGGATTGCCCAGGAGTAGAGGAAGGGAAACGAGCAGGGATAAGGCTAAGTGGGTATGAGCAGCAACTGCCAAAAGAGCCAGCTCTCTGGCTAGGTTTGGGAGGCATTGACCATTTATTGGCCAACATAGAAGCTGTGACTATAATCAGGGATGGGATTCAGCCGGTTCGGGCCAGTTCGAAAGAACCGGATGTTAAATTTACAACTGGTTCACTGAGCCGGTCATCGAACCGACTGGCTGGCCCTGCCCACTCCACCCCATCCCTCCCAGGAGCCTCCATGAGACCCATTTTGGATGCAGGCAGGGGTGGGTTTCTACCGGTTCTGTCCACCTCTGTAGAACCGGTAGCTCTGAAGAGCAGCAGACCTAGAACCGGTTCTATGTCTGCTGATGTTTTCGCCCACCCGCCCACCTGGGCTCTTACCTGACCTTTATTTCCTGATTTTTCAACTTCAGCTGCCGTGTGAGGCACAGCTGCAGTTAAAACAGCAGGAAAAAGTGCTTTTTCAAAGGCTACTTCTCTGCACACAGCGCTGTTCAGCTGCCCAGGCACCAAGCTGATGACGATTTACAGGCGTGTGCACAGCATGCAGGAAAGCACATCGTAAATCACTGAACCTCATAAATCACCGAACCGGTAGTTAACCCTGTTGGATCCTACCCCTGGATGCAGGTAAGTGCAAGGTCTGTGCGGAGGATCTGGGAGAGGGAAAATGGCTCTCTGAGAAGTTCCAGAAGGCCAGAAATGGGCCTGTTTTTGGCCTCCGGAGCCCAGGGGAAGCTGTTTTCGCCCTCCCAGAGGCCCGAAGGAAGCCTCCGGACTCTGGGGAAGGCACAAAATGGCCCTCCAGGTAGTTCTGGTAGGCCACGCCCACCCAACAACCGGGCAGAGAACCGGCTTTTTGAATCCCACCCCTGGCTGCAACCCAGAGTGGCAATTGCCCAGGAGAAGAGGAAGGGAAGCGAGCAGGGATAAGGCTAACTAGGCATGAGCAGCGACTGCCAGAAGAGCTAGCTCTCTGGCTAGGGTGGGGAGGGGACACCCAATGTTTGTTGGCCAATGCACAAGCTGTGAGTATAATGGGAAAGACCTGGAAACAGGGGAGCCCTGATGGATCAGAACAGGGGACACCCCAGCCATCAGACGGCTTTCAACGTTGACCTTCTGTATTCATTACTCCATCAGTAGGAGGTTCAGGGGTAGCCCTACAACCTTGCTTGCACCCCAAAAGCTGAGGTGATAGTGGGATCCCTTGGCTGGGGGAGGATCCTTTCCTAGGACCCCCAAACCCTCATCCTCCAAGAATGGCCACCCAGGGTTTTTTTGGCATGCTGTTCCAGCCCAAAAATGTTGCCCAGCAGAGAAGATGGGAGGGAAAGCGGGGGGGGGGGGGGAATTGAAAGCAAAGTGAAGAGATACCCATTGCAGAAGCCCCTCATGATAGAAGACAGGGGGGCACAGCTACAGCGCGGCAGTCCCAGGTGGCACCAGAAAAGGAGAAAAGGAAGCAGAAGAGAGAGAAATTGTGAGCTCAGACACACACAACCAGAGGGGTGGACAACTCACACTGCGATAGGGAGTGGGGAAGAACCCAAAGGAGTTCTGGGAGTGCTGGAGAAATTTCCACCAGTAAGTCCTTGACTTACAATCATTTGTTTAGTGACCATCTGAAGTCACGACGGCACTGAAAAATGAGACTTATGACCAGTTTTCACACTTACGACCTTTGCAGGATCCTCCTAGTCATGGGATCAA